AAAATATTCCACCCTGCAACTGGGCTGGACTAAATGCACAAAGTTACAACTCAGCTGATGTGGTACCATCCGAAGCCACTCAGACCAAAATGATCTTGAGTCCCAAAGGGAGGGATGGTTTTTTAGAAACATTTAGCTCCAAACAGCACACTGAAGCAATATTTGCTGCCATTAACTTCTTAAATGGCCATTTAGGAGCATGCTCCAAATATTTGGCTATTCGGGCTGTAATATTCCATTAACCAGTTCTGTTTATTCTACAAAATATTCTGGGCAGAGACAGTGCTATTCCACAGGCTTGATGACAGAACAAGGAGAAAAGAGGGGCTTTGTACACAGTTTCATTTGCAAAACGATGCGTTTCCTGATGGACACAACAAATCATGCCCTAAGAATGATAATTTAAAGGAAAGGATCCACTAATTTGGAAGGGAAAGTGTCACATGATTCCCGGGTGATTTAACATGTAAGTGCAGAACTGGACTTCTTACATATGTTAAGTTTGACTGAAATCTTAGGTTTGTGGCTAGGCTGACTTGTCAAAATGCCAACTGCACTCTTAACCCAAATCTATCATCATGTTAGAGCTTTAGAGAAAAAAGTTATTATTTCTGACAATAGGAAAGCTCTTTTTGCAACCCATCTGGAATATATTAAACCAGGGGACTTCATGCTGAAAAGCCACAAGCCGTCCCAGAGGGGCAGCGAAATACATAATCAAACATCAAAATAGATGGAGGTTATTCTTCTGAATACACGTTTGCAGATCAGAAATTGTTGTTTTGGTTTATGTGGCTACTGCCTGCTCTTGTTTATTTTGAGATCAATGGTAAAATTCACATTTGCCTTACTAGGAGGAGGCCAGATAGTGAATTTATATTTCTGCTTTCAGTGAGAGGCTGAGGCCTGATAGAATTTTCCTCCTAAAGAAAAAAAACAGCACTGAAAGCCACCACTCATGGGAAAAGAGAGAACAGGGGTGCTGGCTGAACGACAAAGAGAGGCTGAGTGTCCTTGAGAACGTTTACTGGAGGAGTGTGGGCTCACGCATCCATAAGGTCACGAGGTCCTTAGTTGCAGAACAAGCAGTAACCCAAGGTGTACGACCACGGTGGGTGTTCTACCCAGTACCTGGCTCGTTGTCATGCTCAGCTCAAGGCCTTGCTGGGGGGAAAGCTGCACCCGTCTGACTCCTTGCAGAAGAAACCCCCGCCGGGTACAGAGCGAGATCACGTCACCGTAGGCGTGAGGAGACACCGCAGGCGACACCACCAGAACTATGTCTCCTAGATCAAAAAGAAAGTAAGAAAAGCAGCGTGTTATTTCCACAGAATTTGTGGTATCGATGCAAGGCAGGGGCTAGTTCCAACTTGAAGCACATCCCAACTGGTGACACCATATTTTATGGTCTGTTTGCTCTATCCAGCTCATAATGGCTGCTATCAGAGGCCAACCTAGAACGGAAAAGCTTATGGCATCATCAGCAATATCTTTATGAATCATCTACCCCGGATGGTCTGTCTCATCAGGTCTATCAAGCTATCTATGAGCTATTCATCTCTCTGTGAGGCATCTGTCTTGTGGCTCATGTGCCAGCTGTGTGTCACTCCTTCCTGGGCTGTCTCTGAGCTGTCACCTTACAGCTGGCAGTCCCACAGCCACCAGTGCCCTCAGGGGCTAAGGAGCTGATGAGCCTGGCCACACTGCTGGGTTATTAAATCAGTTGGCCCTAGGCTATAACCAGCTTCTACAATCTTATAGAATGGGTTGGAAGGGACCTTAAAGACTACCTGGTCCCATGCCCAGCCCTGGCCAGGGACACCTCCCACCACACCACGTTGCTCCAAGCCCCATCCAACCTGCCCTTGAACCCCTCCAGGGATGGGGCAGCCACAGCTGCTCGGGGCAACCTGGGCCAGGCTCTCACCACCCTCACACCAAACAAGTTCTTCCCCACATCTCAGCTCCATCTCCCCTCTTCCAGGCCCAAACCCTTCCCCCTCCTCCTGCTTCCTCTTGTCTTTAACCTTCATCCCAGAGCTTGCCTTGTGGCCTGGGCTCCTCAATCTTTGGGCCAGCCTGTGATCGTGATTTCACCTCACTCTTAGGTTTGGTATCTTCTGTCTTTGGTCATCATGATAATGGTACCAGCCTGCTTTCTCCTACCTCATTCTTATCCACTAGGTCTTGCTGCTCGTGCTCTCCTTGTATCCCTTATCCCAGTAGATAAGGTTGTAGAAGCAACAGGATTTACTTTGGGCTAGAACCTTGGGCTTTTTGAATCCTGTTTCCTAAGCCAAACCCCAAGCTCACCGCCAACAGGGTGGCAACACGTGCTATGAGCAGGCTCAGGAGAAAGAGCCTACAAGACCTCCTGAGCAGTGTCTATGCCCCATCTTAAGTTCTACAGGACAAGCTCAAGACTTTTCCCTGAAGCCTCTGATCTACCCGAGGTCTCTGCTTCATTCTAATCTTCTATCGGGTCTCTGCTTTTACCATCACCTTCATTATTACACTGTCCTAGTCCTAATACAGCTTTTTTTTCTGTACACAAGGTACATTCAGGTCTCCCTAATCTGCCAAGAGTGAGCTCTGAAGACAAATCCTCAGCATCACTCCTAGATGGGTTTCTTCTACACTGCCCCATTAATTTCTCTTAGCTCTAACTGTGAATATATAATGAGGTTGGAGTATTTTAATCTCTGTGGCCCAACTACACTTGGTTTTGGGAGTGGGACTATGAGCAGTGAACGTTTCTTTTGGTTCTAGACTTTATGATATGAATATCTGCCCCCCCCAAGGCTCAGCCTGGTAGTTCCAAGCAATGGCAATAAACCAAGGGAAAGCTTGTGTTTATTACTAAGGACGGGGCACAATTTTGGTTCCTCTCTAGTTGATAAAACTTCTATAGATATATTTTTCACATGCACGTATCCCAAATCAACCAGAATACCTGCTCAGGTCAGCAAAACTTTGATTACTGAGAAGAGGCAGATCTATCTGGTGGGATTAGCAGTATATTTGTTCTAAATCCTCTGCATGAGTATATCTTCCCATCTCCAGGAGAAACTGCCGGAGACCCGAGGGAAGGAGTCAGTGAATGTTTCCTTTCCTTAAGACCCCATGGGGCATCTGCTCCCAGACCAGATTTTCAATTTCTCTTCCAAGAGTCATGATCCAGTTCTCTCTCTGAGGAGCAAAGCGTGAAAGTGACTTCCTGAGCCCAAATACAGATGGAACGTGGTGTGGTGTAACTCAGCAGCCCACAGCAAATGTGAATCATTAGTGGCCATAAAAGGAAGGGGAGGCAGAAAATGTGACTCATTCCATCAGCAGCAACCAGCTGCCATCAATACCAGTCCCAAATACGCAGAGCCAATGGCTGGCTGCCAAGCTACCTGAGTTAACATGCCCAGTTATACGAGTTAGAAGAGCGTATCTCAAAGGTGAGAGCTTTTTTTTTTTTTTTCCTTTCTCCAGCTTGACTTTGAATTTCCCTAAGTGGAAGAGCCAGGACGCGCTGCTGGGTTAGTGGATTGCCGTGCGCTATATTTAGAAAGCAGCTGGAAGGGAAAATGTCCTCAGGAATCCGGACTGTTGTGTTGTAAATGCCCCTCCAGTCCCAGCACTGTAAAGGCAAACGCTCCTTCTTCCGACGTGCCCGCCCTTCGCGCTGGGTAAGGACGGGTTAGGGGACCCCCCGTTCATCCTGCGGCACAGCAGGTGACGTTGGAGGTGTCACATGAAAATTAGAGGTGCCGGTGCTTCCTGACCTACCCCCGCCGCGGGGGGGGGGAGCGGCACATCGGGTTTGTCCCCGCCGGTGGCACCCCTCTCCGTCCGGGGGCACCGGCGGGTTGCGTGCACCCGTTTCTCGGTGCGGGGCGCCTCGCCCGCGGGGGTGGCTGCCCGGGGGGCCCGGAGCGGGTCGCTTCCTTTGCGTTTTGGCAGCGCCAAACCCTGCGGGGTCCCCGTCACCGCGGGCCGGAGCCGGAGGGTACGGACAGTCTGCTCCCTCCCTGGGGATCCAGCAACACCACCCCCGGACCCACCACCCCCAGACCCACCACCCGCCAGCTCCTCAACGGGCTCTCGGTCGCTGGGGCTTGGCCCCTCCGGGAGGGGGTTCCCGGGACAGGCCCCGCCGGCGGGGAGCCCTGCCTGCCCGTGGCTCCGGAGGGCATCCCCCCCACACCCTGTCGAGCCAGTCACGGAGCATCTCCGGGGTACGGTCCCCGGCCGCCCTGGGGACCCCGCGGCCGGCCCCCCGAGGAGGCGGGCGGCTGTCCGGCTGCACACGCCGTCCCGCCACCGTCGTTTGCTCAGTGGCGGCGCTTCTCTCCCCCCCGCTCCTCAATGAGGTGCTCTCCCACCTCACCACTGCCCCTCCAGACGGCGAAGGGGGCGATAGTCACGACACCGCGATAGAAGGAGACCACTCAGAGGCCTTCGCCCCTGGCCGGTGCCCGCCGGTGGGCGCAGAGAGCCCGGGGCAGCACTAAGCGGGGGGGGGGCGGCTGAGTAGCACAGCCAGCGGCTGCCTCGAAGCGGGTGGCTTCGTGCCGTGGCACCGGTTCCGACCTGTGCCCGCCCCACACGGGGCTCCCGGGACCAAGCAGGAGACCCACGTGCGGGAGTTGTCTCGGTGCCGGCGGGCGGGATGTGGGCAAGTTAATGTCTCTTAAGGCCATATACGGGCCATATCAGGCAGATGATTTAATGGTCTCTTCCCAATAATTTGTGTTTGAGTAAAAAGTGCCTTCCAGAAAGGCCCCTGGTCCTGAGGATTTCAAGAGATGGCGATTTTGTTCCTGTCCTGGAGAGTTTGTTGTGGCAGTTAACCCCTGATTAAGGGATGAGCATAATTTCCATGACAAGTTGCCCTTGCTTAAGTTACTCCAACTTGCCAGGCATAGATTTTGGAGCTTACAAGTGCTGTTGTCATGCTGTGACCACCTCAGCTTTCTCCTTCCTCTCACCCAGATGTCACGCCTGGCGTTAGCACAGACGAAGGCCTGGCTCTTCCTTGGGCTGCCTGGGGACTCATGAAGGACCTAGCACCTGAGTTCCAGCTCAGCCTGCTTGGAGACTGTAGCAATGAAGAGCCCCAGCACCTCAGGCCAATGGGACGTGCCATTGAAGAACAGTGCTCAAAGGGCCTCATCCTGTCTTACTGTGAAATCATGGGCCAACACATCTTTCTAACCAAGCCAGCACCCAACCGGAGGAGGACGAGGTACCTTCTTGGGAAGTTCTGCTCTCTGTGGAGCAGTCACAGCATGAGGGTGCCTGGACATGGGTGGTTGGGGCGCTGTGGGTTCAGGGTGTTGGTGGAAGATGAGCACTTTGCATCTGTTGAACGCCTAAGGCTTACAAGATTTTATTTTCCTGGTGAATGGTTGCTGCTCTC